TACAAGACACTGATAATCAAGCACTTCCAATGGACATAAAAAGCTGCCTACTTGATCATCTCATAATGTTGAAAGTTCATTTCAAAAAATACTTTCGCAATGATTTTGATAAATTTAATTGGATTAAAAATCAATTCGAAAATGCTTCTGGGCCATCATCTCTGAATGTAAATGAGCAAGAACGACTCATTGATCTCACTAGTGATACTTCATTAAAAAGTAAATTTAAGGAATTGTCTTTGTTGGAGTTCTGGATACATACTGGCACAGAATTCCAAACTTTGAGCCAAAAAGCACCGAAAATCCTGATTCCTTTTGCAACAACTTACTTATGTGAGGTAGGCTTTTCTGCTTTGGCAGCTATAAGTCAAAGTATCATTCAAGGCTAAATATTGCTAAAGAAGTTAGAGTGGCCATTTCTGATATTACACCACGTTTTGATAAACTTTGTTCTCAAAAGCAGGCCCATCCATCACACTGAACTTTGACATTTAAATGTTTAAATTAAATACTTGTTAGTTAAATATCGTTTCATTTCAATACATATTTTGGTTAATTGCAAGTGTTAAAACTAATTAATTGTAGGCCTAGTATTGTGATGCTTTAATTTTGAGTAAGAAAACTGCTAAATAGTATGTAGAAAAAACACAAAACAAACTGAATGAAACGTCAAACATACCATGACGTCCATTTTGATAAAAAAAAACAAGCTAGGGGCCTGAGAGTATTTTCTCTTGTCAGGGGGGGCTCAGAGGTAAAAAGTTTGAGAACCACTGATTTAACCCATTTTGTTTCTTGCTTCCCAAGAGAGAGCACTCAAATTCTTGCTTTGTTGCATCTTGAAGAAGTCTGCACTTTTCTTTTGGGAAGCTTTGCCAGGTTTGGTGCTCATTTTGCACTACCCAGGGGACACATATAGTGTGCAGTTATTTATGCTGTCTACCTTAGGTTACAATGGCTTCAACTTGTTCCAATATTTCTGCACTTACATGCCATCTACAGGGGATGGACAAAAATATGGAAACACCTTGTGAAATGCATGCCTGAATTGAAGTGTTTATTTTAGCGACGTTTGTAGGTGACGTCTTATCTGCCCAATACCACTACCTGTACAACCTCCGCAATATGTTGCAAGCTTCATCTGTTGTCGAGACAGTGTTCTGTGCAGTTTTTAGTGCATCATGTCAGAGCTAACAGAATTCGAACGTGGGCAAATTGTTGGGGCCCATATGGTGGGTGCTTCCGTAACCAAAGTAGCCGAGGTTTTTGGTGTTTCGCGAGGCACATTATCCAAGATTATGACCTCATACAGGAGGACTGGAAAAACCGCATCCGATAAACACCAGCGTGGATGGAAATGTCTCTTGAGTGATTGAGACAGATGAATACTGCGTAGGATTGTGACGAAAAATAAGACTACAGCTGCAAAAGTGACTGCTGAACTGAATGTCACACTCACAAACCCTGTCAGCACCAAAACAGTATGAGGGGAACTCCACAAACAGGGTATTTCTGGATGAGCTGTAATTCCAAAGTCACTCATCAGTGATCAAAATGCAACTAAGAAGAGAGTGTGGTGCCGAAGTCATAAAATCTGGACTATGGAGCAATGGAAGATGGTCATTTGGTCAGATGAGTCCACCTTCACACTGTTTCCGACTTCTGGCTGAGTTTACATCTGGAGAACGCCATCCCAAGCTTATGATCCAGATTGTTTGCTGCCAAGAGTGAAACATGGCTGGGGATCGATCATGGTATGGGCAGACATATCGTGGTATCCTGTCAGACCCATCATTACCCTGCAAGGTCACGTCACTGCCAACGACTATGTGACCATTTTGGGTGACCAGGTCTATCCCATGATGCAAATTTTGTTCCCCAGTGGTGATGCCATTTACCAAGACAACAGTGCCCGTGTTCACACAGTTCACATCGTCCAGGACTGGTTTCCTGAGCATGAATATGAAGTGTCAGGTCTGCCATGGCCCCCACAATTACCAAATATCATTATTATTGAGCCTTTGTGGTCTGTTTTGGAGAGCAATCTGTGTGCGTGCTATCCACATCCATCATTGTTAACAGAACTTGCCAATGTTTTGCAGGAAGAATGGTACAAGATTCCCTTGCAAATCATACAGGACCTCTATTTATCCATTCCAAGGAGACTGCAGGCAGTTCTGCAAGCCTGAGGTTGTCCTACACCATATTAGTCACGGTAATGTGTTTTTTGTTGGGTGTTTCCATATTTTTGTCCAGCCCCTGTATATAGGAAAGAGTGGAACTACTGTATTAACACACCCACAGAAGAAGTCAGTACATAAAACAAAAGATATCCTTACTGATGAAAGTTTCAGAGAACAGAGCCACTTTGATGGAACACAATAATACGACAGTGTCTCTCAGCATCTTAAGAACTCTCAATGTTTTGAACAAAATGTTATGCAAAAAAGCAAAATACAGCAAAACATAATCCACAATCTATTTACATAAATATATTTAATGATGAAAGAAGTTCTTCATAAATGATCCATTAATATTGCTCAAGTACAGAGGTAATTACGGTTGCATCTGACATGACAGTTACCTAAGAAAGGTTGCATACTGATAGCGCAGCTCAGGGATGGCTAACCCACACATTTCAAGGATGACAGTCCAAAGTAGAAGATATGCCATTGTATAGGTATGGGCATCAGTAAATGGACACACTGTGCAACTATTCCCCAAACGAATACCCAGCAGCATGGTGTCCACAACAGTTTGCATCTGCTGTAGAGAGTTCTGCAACTTTGCTAGGCTCAGTCCATCACAGTCTATATCCACAGCAGCAGCAAATGCTGCAGGTGTGTCCAAGTTAATCAATCCTGGGACCAGTCTGAAACACAGCAATATGTTTACACAACTGTGAAGTCCAACAGAAATTACATGAAGAACTTAAGGTAATTACTTTCCTTTGTAAGGCAGTACTATTATTTATGTCAAAGTCATGGAATGAAGAAACTTGAACTAATACTCAAACTGAAATAGTCTGCTTAGACCAGTGTAGGCTCTAAAAAACTCCCAGACCTTACTCAGACACCCTCACAGCTCACTGTAACAAGTGGCTAGCATCTCATCAAATGGCATGCATGTATACATGTTGGCACATGCATTATGAAGACATGGAGAAATGGAGGCAAAGCTTCACGCATTCTTAATTTCAATGCAAGATAGAGCTGACAGCTTAGCTTCATGCTTCAGCTGTTTTAACCTTTGGAACAGAACTACTGGTATCCACTGGATATGAAACAAGGGACTCCAGAGCCAGTATGAACATAATGACAAAGAAGAGAAAAATCTTTACTTCTTACACTTGTCAGCGATCACACCCAAGCCAACCACTGGACCATCCTGGCTCTGTCACCAGAATAAAAGAATAACAAGAACAAGAATGAAATCACAGTCCAAAATGTCTAGAATAATCTTAGATAAGTGAATATAGAAAAATCTAAACCCATAGTTTCACCTGGTCAATATATGATAAGCTGTGAGCTGAAGTGGAATCACAGAAGAATGTAGTAGTTCACAGCAGCACTGCATTACTGCATCAGGAGCTAAATTACCAACTGTGCAGTCAGATGGGAAAAAGTAATCTGGATCAATCCGTAGCATCACGTCTCCCACACTTTCCAACAGTGGAAGATCAAGGAGAGACAGAGAATTAGTTTCCACCATACCTAATAGAATCCAGAAAAACTATTAAAACATTTCATTCATAGTTCTTTTAAATCTCACATATTAGTTACACTAGGTTCATTTTATATATATCTACAGCTTCATTTATTCCTCTAGCAAGGTCACATGATTTAATGCACCATCAAGTTAAATGTGCCAAAAGGAGCCATGTGTAACATACTTCCTGACCTGGTCATACATTAGTCACATTCCTATTTGAAGATTAAAATGAAGAAGAAAATAAAGTCATTTATGTGTAGCACTAAACCAAATTGTCTGTATTAACACCTGTTACAACAAACTCAGTAAGTACATTATTCCAAGACTACACTACAATACTGTCTTCCCCTTCTTAGTGACATTCCTGTTCTGGCAAGAACAAATTTAACATCAACTGAAAGAAAACTTATATGGAGGAAATTCAGAACTGATCTAACGTAGTTTGAAACTGTACAGAATGGAAATGACAGTGAGGAAAACTCTTGAGGTGATGAGTATTAAATAGAAAGTGTATTGTGAATATTTAAAACAGTACATTAATATGAGATACTTACCAGTAACTGTATAAAATATGGAGACAATTGCCTCATGAACACAATTAGCAAATACATCTTTCCATTCTGTTTTCAGTTTTTCATGGAACTTTTTAACTTCACCACTGTACTCATCATGTGATGCAGCCAAGAAGTCATGAAGTGCCTTATAAAGCTGAAAGACTGCCACAGCAAACACTGCTTCACTGTTACTGT